GTAATTTTTGGGTATAAACTGCATCTATATAATGTGTTAATAAACTCCTCAGTTCCTGAGTGCTTGTTAGGATTTAACAAATCTATATTGAAGTCACCACATATGAACATTAATTTATGACTTATTGTTGAGTAGTTCTCCTCCATCCAGTCATTACATTTTTCTATGCTGGCTCCAGGTGCTCTGTAGATACAGCTTATTACAACATTCTTCTTTCTTTCCAAAAGTAGTTCAACAGTCACACAATCTAGTAAATTATCTACCGCCCTTGACATTTTCTCGACTTTCTCATAACAAAAAGTTTTTATCTATGTACAAAGCCACACCACCTCCCATCATTGGTGTGAGCCTGCCCTCCATGGAGGACCTGTACACCTCAAGGGTCAAAAGGAGGGTGGAGAGGATCACTGCTGACCCCTCACACCCCAGATACAATCTGAACTCCTCCCCTCTGGATGGCATTACAGGTCACTGTGCACTAAGACAACTAGGCACAGGGACAGTTTCTTTCCCCAGGCTGTCACTCTGATGAACACTTAACCCACGACAGTATGACTGGACAATAACCCTCAGTGCAATACCTGTAAATATATATTGTACAGATTATACAGAGTTGTACAGGTCTCTAATACTCTGTTTTAAGTACTTTTATCCCTAGTTATCTCATTTCAATGAATATTCCTTTGTTGTCTGCATTGTTTACTGTCTATATATACTGCTTTTTCTGCATTGTTTGCCCCGGTTGTTGATGTTAATACTGACTATTTTGCAGTCAGGACTGCAGAAAAGGTCACTGGTGTGAGCCTGCCCTCCATGGAGGACCTGTACACCTCACGGGTCAAAAGGAGGGCGGAGAGGATCACTGCAAACCCTTCACACCCTGGACATAATCTGTTTGAACTCCTCCCCTCTGGACGGCATTACAGGTCACTGTGCACTAAGACAACCAGGCACAGGGACAGTTTCTTCTCCCAGGCTGTCACCCTGATGAATACTTAACTGACGACAGCATGACTGGACAATAACCCTCAGTGCAATACCTGTGTATATATACATTGTATAGATTATACAGACTCGTACTGGTCTCTAGTTCTTAAGTACTCTGTTTGATCCCTAATTATCTCATATCAATTAACATTCCTTTGTTGTCTGCATTGTTTACCATCTGTTTATACAGCTTTTTTGTTTGCACTGTTTGTTGATGTTAATACTACTATTTTGTTATATTACATAGCCTTATATCTGGTTTACTGTTTGCACATTGAGAGCCAATGTACCAGAGTCAAATTCCTCATGTGTCCATCACACCTGGCCAATAAAGCTGATTCTGATTATGAGGTTCTTTATGATGCTGGAACAACCTACCTGATAGCAGCATGAAAAACTGTGCAAGTGGACATGCTGTAGGAAAGGTAGTGCCGTTTTAAAGAGGGCTAGGATTTAGTTTTATGGTTTGAGTCTAGGTTAGTACCTGTTAAGCTTAGGAGCCAGAGAAGGCATTATGTAACTGAGTGTCCTTATAAAGATAGCTGTACAAATATCTGCGTGTGTTTCCTACCAGTCCATGGTTGGTAGGCAGCATAACAATAATTTGCACATTGTGGTCCCAGATCATTCTCCAAAAGTCTTTTGTGGTGTGGAGCAGAGGATGCTGGGTGATGATGAACTCATTACTGCGGTAGTAGCCCTGTTCAAAAAGAAAAGAAAAAAAAAAACAGTAGGACAGTGGGAGAATTAAACCACATTATCACCACATGGATTTGCATGTAGGTTGGACATAAAGCAGTGTAAAGACATTGTGTTTACACTACTGAATAAATCATGAGCTCATCTTCAGAGATTCATCTTCATATTTAGGATTTAGAGGACTAAAAGGCTATTCATGCTTTGCAGGTCCACATGTCCACTAAGGTCAAGTGGCATAATTTTCATCATTTTCCTTGGTTCATGAGGGTCCATGTGGACTCTGTGCAAATGTCCATGTACAAGCCAAAAGTTTGTGTCTGCATGGGCGGTCCATACAACAAAAGCTCCAACTGTGCATGTGCCACAATGCTTGGAAACGCAGTTCAACAGAAGACAGACCCTTGATTTGAAGTATGACTAGGAACACATGCACGCATGTCGTCCATGTCTATGAACACACATGGATAGGTGCAAAGTATGAATGTGAGCAGGTCTTTCCAGATATTCAATACAGCCCTATGCAGACATCTATGGCTTGGTGTGCTGGCTAGGTAGAAAGCTGAAACACACTGTCTACCACACAAACATTCATTCAGCTTCATTTCTGTTCTGTACATTCCATATATGCTGGCTAGCTAGTCGGCTAGTTAGCTACAGAACATATTCCCTGTGGAGTTCTTGTTCTACTGCAATTCCAGCGGTGTAAATTATGCTTATTTCAGGAGCAACATCATTTGTTTAGGAGAAGACTGCAGAGAGTCAAGTGCCTCAAGCACAGGTATAAACGGTTCTGGCTTTGTGTTGATATCACAGCTGCCGTGCAGCATGGCCAATGTGTTGAGGAAAATCACACCATTAGGCTATCACAGCTCAAGCTTCAGACTTGAGATGTTTTATTTAAAGCTTACAACCTGGGCCATAGAGTAAAGGTTTTCATATGGTTACTACCTGACACAGAACTAGAGTTGGGTACAAATTGTATTCATTTTTTGGGGAGTTTGGGTTTCATTTTTTGTTTTATTGATGTGGGTCTTTAGGTCTTCTTTCTGAAAAATAGATGTGTTATATCTTGAGGTGGTACAAACTCCAGCACGCTTGTGTGTTTCAACTCTTTACTGAGTAACTGCACAACGGTACACCGTGAACACTCGTGTGACAAACAGACAGCTCAGAAGCCCTCGGAAACAGTGTCCCCCAAACATGTTCCCGTCCCAAGATGGCTAACTAAGGTTCCTAGCTCCCAATTCAACAGCCTCAAACTATAACAAGATGCATATTGAATTAGTGTAAGCAGGAAGTCTGCAAATCATGACCCGTACTATCAACTAAAATTCTGAGCTTTTTGACCCTGCTGCTTATTTTGACCATTCTTTTTTCAGTTTGTCTTTTGCAAGTACATTGCTGTCCCATGAAAGGTACAGTTTTTGATTTTTCTATGACAAGCCTAAATCTCCTAATTACTCTCACTTTTCTGTTGTTGATGTTCTGAAACAACTATGAGTTGAGTTAAGTCAAAACAACAATACTGAGCTGGTTGAACATTTGGGGATTTGGGCATTACTATAACAAAATTGAGAAGTGTATGTTTAAACACACAATCAGTGATGTTAACTGAATATGCTCTGATTAAAAGCATCAAGCAAAGAATAGAAAAATCAGTGATTGACAAAAGCAGTAAAGTGCTGACCATGATGTAAGAGGCGTTAATGTAGTCCGTGCCTTTGATGCAGAACAAAGGAGCTAGGCCGGTTCTTGCTCGCTCTGCTGCTCACACAGGAGTGGGGGTGGGGAGAGAAAGAGAGTAACTATTTACCAGGTTATTAGAACAAATCAATCACATTTAAATGCTACTCTGTGGGTATTCATTCATCCTTTTGCTGTTACTGGTTGAGCATTGATTGTTCTTGGTAGATAATGACAAAGAGCTGAATGATGTTACTGACACCAGACCGCCTATAAACCATAGAGTAATTCATATTAGGATTTAGCTAAGGAGTTCTTGTTGGCTGGAATGAAAATGATATTCGTAAACTGAAGCTGCAAACACAGGACAAATTATAGAAAATGGCAGATCTTGAAAATTTTGGTAAAAGAAGAATTGTTGGTTGGAGTGCTGTGTTACTTCAGTCAGTAACAGATGCTTTGTGTTGATCTTCCACAACTTATACACTTTCATCCACAAGTACAATAAAAAAAAATCATTGTTCAGTGCAGAACAATACAAAAATAATCTGTTCTGAATGTGCGTGCTTATGTTGCTTAGTGATTTTCTGTGCGCTATTCTTCCACAACGCAGATGCTATAAACTCAAAGGCAACATATTCACTGAATGTGAATGGTTTGTAATTGCAGCTGCTATTTACTGGGAGGTTTTTGTTGTTGTTTGGCTTATTACTGCTGCAGGCGGTTCCATTGCAAATTTAAGTTTTTACATGAATGCAACACTTACATGGCACCATGGAGGAATTTTGATTATTCTCTTTGTTGCACTCCTGAGCACTGAAGCATTCCATGAATCTGGCATTACACTGTGTTACCAGCTGAAACACACCAGAAGAAAGAAGGGAGAGTGTTCTACTTTTTCAAGCATTCAAATGGCATTCTAACTAATTACAAATAGAAAGCTACATTATGTGTCATATATATTTTTAGATTTAGGAGAATATGCTATTTGTAACCTTCATGTAATCAAAAGAAGTAGTTTTATCTCTGGTTGTTCTGCAGTGCGATGTGTCCAGTGTTGTCACAAATTGTAATGTATGTTTCTCCTTACCCAAATTTAGCGTTAATCCTCAACAGTCATTTCTATGATGTTTAACCTAACTACACCTACACAAACATTACTTAATAGGGAAACAAAAATCAACAAGATCTGTGCATGTTTAGCCTATGTACTGTATGTTAACTCAAAGACTGGGAACGGGGTCGGGGTGGGGCGGGGTGGGGAGCTATTAGTCTCTACCACAATAAGAAAAATCATTTCAACAATGTCTTTATGAAAGTGGCTCCTGTTCTGACACCTTTCTATCAGAACCAGCATTAGGTTTATCAGCAACTTGTGCTACAGTAGCTCTGCTATTGGACCAGACAGCCTAGCCTTTACTCCCCACACGCATCACTGAGCCTTGAGCACCCATGACCCTGTTGCTGGTTCATCAGTTAATAATAATAATAATAATAATAATGATGATTTTTTTGTTTATATAACACTTTACAACACCCAAGGGTGCTCAAAGTGCTTCACAACAAAACATATAAAAATAAAAGCAGAACATGTTAAGACACGTAAACTAACAAAAAGGAAAAGTTCAAATTACACACATTTAAAACCATGGTCTGTAAGCAACTATAAAACTCCTGTACAATGAAAATGAGTCAAGGTACAAACAGAATAAGATTACAGAATATAAAATCTGAAAACCTGTAGGCACCTGTTTAGCGCCACTGCTATAAATTGTCAGTCGGAATAGATGTTACTTTAACTTAGACTTAAAAACAATTAACTCAGTTATAGACCAAAGATCAGGAGGCAGGGTATTTCAGAGCTTGGGGGCATATACGGCAAAAGAACAATAACCCCACTTTTTGTACCTTGCCCGCGGGACAACCAGACACAAATGCTCAGAGGAACACAACGCTCTGACTGGGGTATGAATAATTAAAAAGTTATCCTTCCTTGGACCACTTGGAATAGGTACTGATGACTGCATACTGGTAACACCCCACAAGACTCTGATCCAGTCACCTAGCCCTCACACTTTGGTTTTTGGCAAAGTTGTTCAGATCCTTATGCTTGTAACAAGCTAAGCAGTGCTATTCAGTTCAGTTGCCAGTGGTTTCATTGTTGTAGCTGAGTGCACTGCATGGTTGGTGTAGTGTATGCACTGCATGTCACCTTCACCTTGAACTGTTTCTCCAGATGTGTTCGACCTCTGTGTCCTGGTGTTGTGATGCTGTTGAAGTAGCTGTGAAGCTGACTGGCCACCACTACTGTCTCCTTCCCCAAAATGGCTTCCATCAAAACATCGTGGAAAAAAATGTACTGCTCCTAAATCAGCCAAAAGATGAGACAGGATGGTATTTACCAGCTTATATAGCAGTTCATTGTATGGACAAATACATATGATTTTGTTTTTGGCAGGCCTAAACCACAAATAAACTGCAATTTTGCAATAAGATGGGGTTTGTCTTAAGACATGAACCATATTATACAGCATAGGAGACAGTGAGCTGAAGCAGCTCTGTCAGGAAGAATGGTCCAAAATTCCTCCTGAATGTTGTGCAGGTCTGATCCACAGCTACAGGAAGCACTGGCTTGAGGTTATTGCTGCCAAAGATAGTTCAGCCAGTTGTTAAAACACTGTTACCATGACTTTTTCCACCATTACTTTATTGAACACACCCATTAAACATACAAAGACATGGAAGATCATGACTGTTTGTGTTTTATCAGCTAAGGAATATTGTGTTTGTGTTTATATTTTTGACTTTGGTGAAGCTCAGATCACATTTCATGACCAGACATTTCATGTCAGATAACACACCACTTCTCCCAGAAAATTGTTGCAGTCACAAATTCTTTGGTATTCTCATGTTTTTTTTTTTTTATTGCATTGGAATAACACAAAAAAACAAAGGAAAAAGCCAAATGTGATCCATTCCACACAGAACTGCAAAAATGGACTGGAAATGAATTGACACCTTTTCAATATCATCAGACATCATTGTATTTCCAGCTTGTGATGCTCCTTTAATTTGTAATGAAACTCACCTGTAGTAACCAACAGGTGCTGGCAATAATGAAATCACACTGGAAACCAGTTAAAATGGAGAAAAGTTGATTCAATCTTTGGGTCATGTGGACCACACTGAGCATGGAGAAAAGAAAGAAGAGCAAAATCAGATTTGACTTTTTTTACTCAGCTTTTTTGTGTTGTTCCAATGCAAACAAAATAAATAAACATGAGTATACCAAAGAATGTGACTGCAACCATTTTCTGGGTGAAGCGGTGCATTATCTGACAAAAATTTTGTGGTGCCAGTGTTTTTGGCCATGACAATATATACAGTGGGGCAAATACTGTAAGTATTTGATACACTACCAATTTTTCAAGTTTTCCCACTTACTAAGAATGGACAGATCTGTAATTTTCATCGTAGGTACATCTCAACTGTGAGAAACAGAATCTACAAAAAAATTCCAGAAAATCAGTTAGATTTTTAAATAATTTATTTCCATTTTATTGCATGAAATAAGTATTTGATACAATAGAAAAATAGAACTTAATATTTGGTACCGAAACCTTTGTTTACAATTACAGAGGTCAGATGTTTCCTGCAGTTCTTGACCAGGTTCGCACACACTGCAGCAGGGATTTTGGCCCACTCCTCCATATAGGTCTTCTCCAGAGCTTTCAGGTTTTGGGGCTGTCGCTGGGCAACACAGAGTTTCAGCTCCCTCCATAGATTTTCTATTGGGTTCAAGTCTGGAGACTGGCTAGGCCACTCCAGGACCTTGAAATGCTTCTTACAGAGCCACTCCTTAGTTGCCCTGGCTGTGTGTTTGGGGTCATTGTCATGCTGGAAGACCCAGTCACAACCCATCTTCAATTCTCTTACTGAGGGAAGGAGGTTGTTGCCCAAAATCTCGCAATACATGGCCCCATCCATCCTCTCCTCAATACGGTGCAGTCGTCCTGTCCCCTTTGCAGAAAAGCACCCCCAAAGCATGATGTTTCCACCCCCATGCTTCACGGTTGGGATGGTGTTCTTGGGATTGTACTCATCCTTCTTCTTCCTCCAAACACGGCGAGTGGAGTTTATACCAAAAAGTTCTATTTTGGTCTCATCTGACCACATGACCTTCTCCCAAGCCTCCTCTGGATCATCCAGATGGTCTTTGGCAAACGTCAGACGGGCCTGTCATCTTGAGTTTCTTCCATTTTCTAATAATTGCGCCAACAGTTGTTGCCTTCTCGCCAGGCTGTTTGCCTATTGCCCTGTAGCCCATCCCAGCCTTGTGCAGGTCTACAATTTTGTCCCTAGACAGCTCTTTGGTCTTACCCATAGTGGAGAAGTTGGAGTCTGATATATTGAGTGTGTGGACAGGTGTCTTTTATACAGGTAATGAGTTCAAACAGGTGCAATTAATACAGGCAATGAGTGGAGGATAGGAGGGCTTCTTAACCTCTAGAGTCCCTGCGTCCTCATATGAGGACCGCACAGCTTGGGTTTCCAAAGCTCAGGACTCTAGAGGTTAAAGACAAACTAACAGGTCTGTGAGAGCCAGAATTCTTGCTGGTTGGTAGGTGATCAGAAATACATTCTTCATGCAATAAAATGGAAATAAATTATTTTAAAATCTAACAATGTGATTTACTGAAATTTTTTTGTAGATTCTGTCTCTCACAGTTGAGGTGTACCTATGATGAAAATTACAGATCTGTCCATTCTCTATAAGTGGGAAAACTTGAAAAATTGGCAGTGTATCAAATACTTATGTACCCCACTGTAATTCCTCAGCAAAACGGTTGGGTTGTGTTGACTCCATCACCTGATCTGTAGTGTCACCAAGACTTGGATAATATCAAATCAAATGAAATTTATTTATATAGCACTTTATTAAAAACAACAGCATGTTGACCAAAGTACTATATCAGAGTTGCAATATGACCCAGAAGCCATATAAACCTTTAACTGTAAGATAGTAGTTGGGGTATCAACTAGTAGAAAAAAATGTTTATGCTAAATCCAGCAGCATCTCCAAAACATGTGTTTCACACACAGTTACAAACCTCAGTCTGGACTAGGTAGTTGCGTTGGGTGCGTATGTGTTTGAGGAAGCCAAGTACATTAACTGTGCTCTTGTCCTCGATTTGCTGCAGCATGCTGTCGATGACAATATATGTCCCAGTCCGGCCCACTCCAGCACTGAAAAACACAGTAACACTGAGGAGCAGGACAACACTCTAAAGGAAAACACAAGTAAAATCGTTCATACATTTGACTGAATGTGAAAGGCTTTTTAAAACAGATTTTTGGCATTTTTTGCCTTTAGGGACATGATAGCAGACAGCTGACAGGAAATGATGTAGTCAGACCTGAACCAGTGATGCTGCAATTACATGGACAGTGCCCCAAAGACCTGGGTCATACTGTATGAGCACCCCATAATGACCTTTTCATTTATTGCTACCCCCAAGATTCTTGCAGCAGCAGCAGCTTTGTCCTGTGTGTGATTTGGTGAGCATAATACTACAATGCCTTATATTTTACATTGTTGTTTCTTGTGGGTGGAAACAACCATATTGTACAGTACTTTTAACTTTTGGGGTCTATGTGTTTGTATTTACGTAAATAGGAAAACAATCATTTTCTGATAAAAATGTGTTTTTTACACTCACTAAATGCAAGTTTAAGTACAAACTGGCAACTGTGACTGCAGGTTCACTGATGCTGTGTAGATATACAGCTGTAGTAAAAGCAGCTATTAAGTGTAAAAAAACCTAAAGTGGTACAGATATTAACAGTTGCAAATTGATTTGAATATCTATGCCTAAAAATCCTACAAACCAAAAACCAATTAAAAAGAATTTCTTCACAAACAAAGGATGAGACTGTTGCCATTCTTAAAAAAAGACCTTAAATAAACCTTTAGCTCTTGGTATGAATTAAATTCACAAAAGTGCACAAAATGAAATACAGCAGACACTGAATGACCATAATGTTCTGCTCTCGCTATACACAGAGATTGGTTATCACATACCCCACACTCATTATTCACTACCTGGCCAGAAGTGATCCCTGGCTATTCTAAAAGGTTGTAAAATGTGTGTAAAAAATATGTACAATGACAACAGAGTCTAATTAATCAGGGTGAAAAATGGATGGAAAACAGAATGTTGAAGGGTTTTAAGTGAAAGCGGTACAGAGACATTACCTGCAGCAAACAAGCATGGGTCCCATACCAGGCATATGGGCGGTGGAGGACCTGCGAACAAAGGTGAGGACAGGTAGTATGTACTCTGGGGCGCCCATGTCTGGCCACTGGGTGTAATGATACTGGAGCACTGTCTGTTCATTGCGGGCCCGTGCCTTAGGGTTTCCCTTGGGTGGAAGAAATGAGAGAAAGGTGACAAGGGTGAGAGGTCTCTGACGTTGGAGAAGATTAGGAAGACTTGATCGTTTTGAGGCATCAAGAAAAGCAAATTTACATTATCTCCCTAACCTCTAACATACAGTCTTATGCAAAAGTTTAGGCACCCCTTGATAAATAACAGATTTTGGTGATTTTTTATTTGAACAGATGTTAACACAGTTTCTCTTGGAAATGGAAAAAATGCACAATATTTTCTGCAAACAGTGATGCATAGTTACTTCTTATGCCATAAATTGAACAAAAATAAAAAATAAAAACATTATTATGGCATGGTGCAAAAGTTTGGGCACCCTAAGAGTTCCAGAGTCTCAAAGTCTCTCACAAGGTATCAGACCTTAATCAGCTCGTTAGATCTGATGCACAGCAACAGCTGTCATTGGTAAATGCCAATTTCAAAGCTGTACAAATACTTTGACTCTTCAAACCTTGTGCACACACTTGTGGACACCCAGCAACCATGGGTTCCTCTAAGCAGCTGTGTAAGACCCTGAAAATGAAAGTTATTGACGCCCACAATGCAGGAGAAGGCTACAAGAAGATAGCAAAGCGTTGTCAGCTTGCAGTTTCCACAGTAAGAAATGTAATTAAGAGATGGCAGATCAGGGGAACTGTGGAGGTCAAGATGAGATCTGGAAGACCAAGAAAACTCTCGGACAGAACTGCTCGTATGCTGGTCAGAAAGACAAATCAAAACCCCCATTTGACTGCAAAAAACCTGCAGGAAGATTTAGCAGACTCAGGAGTGGTGGTGCACCGTTCCACTGTGCAGCGATGCTTGCACAGACAAGGCCTTCATGGAAGAGTCAGCAGAAGAAAACCTTATCTGCGTCCCCATCATAAAATCCAACGTCTGAAGTATGCAACAGGACATCTACAGAAGCCCGATGCGTTTTGGAAACAAGTGCTGTGGACTGATGAAGTTAAAATAGAACTCTTTGGACACAATCAGCAAAGGCATGTTTGGAGAAAAAAAGGAGCAGCATTTCATGAAAAGAACACCTTGCCAACTATTAAGCATGGGGGTGGATCTATCATGCTCTGGGGTTGTGTTGCAGCCAGTGGCACAGGAAACATTGCACGGGTGGAGGGAAGAATGGATTCCACTAAATACCAGCAAATTCTGGAAGCAAACATCACACCATCTGTAAAAAAGCTGAAGCTGAAAAGAGGATGGCTTCTACAACAGGACAATGATCCTAAACATACCTCGAAATCCACTATGGAATACCTCAAGAGACGCAGGCTGAAGGTTTTGGAATGGCCATCACAGTCCCCTGATTTAAACATCATTGAAAATTTGTGGGTAGATCTTAAAAGAGCTGTGCATGCAAGACGACCAAAGAATATTACAGAACTAGATTTTCACATTTACCCATGACCTTTTAAAACTAACTTATTAATAAAAATAAATAAAGTGAAGAATTAGTTCATGATTGACAAGATCTGGTCAGTGTTATGAAGTTATAGTTTCAGGTTAAAATAGTATAAGATTAACAGGCATATAGATCCTAAAAGCTAGCTGAAGTGATGATGGCATGATGGTCTTCACTTGAGTTTTTTTAATTTCCATCTTTGTGTTAATGATAAAAAACCAAAATGTAATGCTTCAGCTGTTTCAACTACAGAGTGCTACACCTTTCCATTTATAATTGATTCCCATTGTGAAACAGAAAGGCATCCATTATCTATACAAGTTGCCCTGTAAAGGGTTGCAGGAGGCTGGAGCCTATCCGAGCTGACAAGCTGACCTTAATTATTTGCATAGAAAAACAATGTCTGACCCAGGGCAATGAAAGAAGAAGCAAAATTTCAGTGTGTTTGAAACTGAGACTCTGGAGAGGTGGAATATGTACACATGGCGTGAAGTATGCATGAGGTGCACACATTCACCCCACACATTCGGTGTTTATACATGCCAGTATAAACGTATAATTTTTGTGCATGAGCAGTGTTTATAGATCTGGCTCCAGATTTAGATTTATTTATTCATTTTCTTTTCTTTATACTTTGAAACTTGAACTACATCCTGTCCTGACAAGAAGTGCCACTTCTTGCTTCTCGTTCTCACCTTTTTGATTTCAGTGTTGCTCAGTGTGAACCAGCAAACAGTGTAGCAAGCATAGACTATGGTACTTTTAAGTGCGACTACCACATTCCCATACTCTTCACTGTTCTCTGTTGGCCAGTACTGGTCACACTTCCTCTGAAAAACACACAAGAATCAGGTTAAATTACTGTCAACTAATTATTGAGGGTAAGCAGTGAATTTTACAAGTATGTGTTGAACCAAAAAAACTCAGTTTATCACTTTTTACATAAAACAGATCAAATACCTGCCCTGTTTTTGCATTTTCTCAAGGGTTAAACACATTCAAAAAGGAGTAAATGAAACAAATTCAGTGACCTGATGTAAAACTTGAACTGTGCCACTGCATATTATCTGCCTCCAGAGAAATAAATAAAATGCTCTCCATAACAGTGCAAAATCTTACAATAATTGGTGAGGGGACAAATTCAGACAGTTTCTGTATAGAGGACAATCAACCCATTCCCCTTGGGTAGCTGCAAGAAGCACTGATAACTGATAACCAGGATGCTACAGGCCCATAGCGCTTTCTTACAGTGGGCAGTTGGACTTGCCTCTCCCCAATCGTAATATCCTGATTTAATCTCAACCACATAAACTGGTGAAATGAGCATCAAAAGCATCACATTTCTTCATAGAAATGGAGAACAGAGTGGTGGATTTCTAACAAAACCTCTGAATTTTCAAACCACAATTAATTTATTTTCAGATTCAGATAGTTGGTTGCACAAAATCTCTTCAGCACATGTCTGTGCTGTCAAGGCGCACTGGTGACAGCACAGTGCTGCCAGACACACTCTGGGTTTTCTGTCCTCACTTGACACCTCTCCACAACCTGCACTCGTCAACTGTGAACATGAGAGAAGCATCTGTATGTTGGATTCTGGATTTAAATATAATGTTTGTTGTTTTTGAGATTTTGAGAGTGTGGCTTCTTCAGTTATGTACAGTACATGTCAATATAGATGCCGGTACCAAGTGTCTAGCTTCGGTGTCCCTGTGCCTCCACCAGGCAGTCCATACTCTGATGGTCTGCAGCAAAACATGTGAGGCATCCACCTCCAGGTATGAGGACTTCCTGGCATTTGCTGCATTAATAGCTGCTGCTGCAGTCAGCCTTTCAAAGCATGTTCTGTTTGCATCACTGCGTCCATTCTTCATAGCAACAATGCACTTATCATTATTTATAAGTGTTTTAAGTTGACCATTTATGGTTAACTGTGGGAGTGTACTGAGTGGAATGTGACTCACCAAAGTGCACATATTCTCAGGCTGATTGTGATTTATAAAGGGAAATATGTATTTAGCTGCACATACACAAACTTTTATAAATCTGATCATCTGTAGTTTGTGTTCATGTGAACATTTGGTACACATCACACATAGAGGGCCCTGGATTTGGCTAATCTCAAATACATTTAACCATTATTACTTTTGACTTCTGTTACACCTACTTTGACAAATCAATATATTACTGTGAGAAGCATCTCTTACTGAGTCCATATCATAACATGTGGCCATTATTTTATCCTAAACAATACTGAAAAGAGGTTTGTTACTTTTCTTGTCTTTGACTGTAACTGTCTAACTGCATTTAGCAAGCTGGGTTTAAAAAGTTATGAAAACATTTGAGAATCTTAGAATATCCAAAAATGAATTTATAAAGATGTCAGAACATACCCGCCCTTTCTCCACTAAATTGGTGATCATAACAATGGTGCCAGTATTTTGGTCCCACACCATGCGCCAAAAGTCTTCAAAGGTGGCTCTGAGCGATCCTTTGACTGCTATGTAGGCTTTAGGCTTATTATAGCCCTAATGGATGAACCATGGAGAGACTGACTTTAGTTAGTTTGCTAATATGTGGCATAAAGCAATGATACTGTATGAAAGTAATTCTACTAAAACTTGAGAAAAGGTCTGATGACACACACACACACGGATCAGCAGTTGAGTTTTCCCAGTAGAAGTACTCACATCCACATAGTTGGCATTGATGTAGTCAGTGTGTTTGGAGTCCTTCCCAGCCAGTGGCCTCAGCTTCACCCTGCTGTGGTCATCTGAGGAGGGAACACAGAGCAGTAACACAGTTACCTAACCTTAACACAGAGCTGCCGTTACCTCGGCCCCCTGCCAAGGCATATTCACCTATTGTAAATGAATGAATTACTAGGCTGTGAAGCTGTTTACAGACAAATAGCATGGTACCTGCCCTGTGCCTTCAAGCATGCACATTAATAAATACAATACTGAGCTGCTTCCAAATAGCCAATGGTTGTATGAGATGTGAAACATTATTAGTTTTCAAGGATTTTATTGTCAATTTACCATATGTGCAGGACATACAGAAAATCGAAAAACTGTTTCTCTCCCACCTGGTATTGGGTACCATAACATTTAGGAGCTAAAATAGAGTAAAGTAGAATAAAAAATGGAATAAAATAGAATAAGAAACTGGATTGACATAATTAGGAGAAATCTAAATGGTACAGCCAATAAGCTGTGACTCCAAACCGTGTACAATCAGTGACAGTAGTGCAAACAATAATAGGAGATTGTCAGATGGTTCAGCATGACCAGGGCGTTGGTGATGAGGTGCAAATAGCATATGAGGTATATATGGACAGTACTGCAAATGACCAACAGCAGCAGATATCCTGGCAAAAAAAAAAAAAAGTCAGCAGCAGATTTACATAAAACAGCAGAGTAGTTTTGTTATTCTGATTCAGTTCTTAAAATGTCTTATTAGTTTTAAACTTTAACACTAATAGAAAGAGATGTATACACAGAAGGTGTATAGGAACCATCCAAATGTTTTGCTAACTGAACAAAGTTTGCTGAACAATCTGAAATTAATCAAAAAACTGCTATGCCAAATTACAGTGTGAAAATGACTATTTGTTGCAAAATAAGTGACCCTGTGTGTGATTTACCAGGTCAAGAAGAAACACGGTGAAATATAGCAATGCTATTATTCAAAAAAAGACTTTTCTAAAGATACAAGTCAGGGGCCATCAGCAAGGATTCAACAAACAAAATCAAAAAAGGACCTTTGCATTCTGGAAGATGCCTCAAATTTGTTTTATTCTTAAAATAAAAAACAAAAACACACACACACACCTACACAAATATCTGATGTTTCAGTATCCCTGCCTTCTTCAGTGTTTATAGAAATGTCTGTGTGTTCTCTATCAGGCATGTGATTTTTAAGATTAGGAATAAGACTTTAATTTGAAGCATCCTTCCGAATACAACAGCCTTTTTTGATTTTGAAAGTTGTCACTCTTTGATATATTGCAGCCATATGCTAAAATCATTTAAGTTCATTTTTTTTCCTCATTAATGTACACACAGCACCCCATATTGACAGAAAAACACAGAATTTTTGACATTATTGCAGATTTATTAAAAAAGAAAAACTGAAATATCACATGTATTTAGTAGTATTTAGACCCTTTGCTGTGACACTCATATATTTAACTTAGGTGCTGTCCATTTCTTCTGATCATCCCTGAGATGGTTCTACACCTTCATTTGAGTCCAGCTGTGTTTGATTATACTGATTGGACGTGATTAGGAAAGCCACACACCTGTCTATATAAGACCCTACAGCTCACACTGCATGTCAGAGCAAATGAGAATCATGAGGTCAAAGGAACTGCCTGAAGAGCTCACAGACAGAATTGTGGCAAGGCACAGATCTGGCCAAGGTTACAAAAAAATTTCTGCTGCACTGAAGGTTCCTAAGAGCACAGTGGCCTCCATAATCCTTAAATGGAAGACGTTTGGGACAACCAGAACCCTTCCTAGAGCTGGCCGTCTGGAGTTTGCTAAAAAACACCTGAAGGACTCCAAGATGGTGAGAAATAAGATTCTCTGGTCTGATGAGACCAAGATAGAACTTTTTGGCCTTAATTCTAAGTGGTATGTGTGGAGAAAACCAGGCACTGCTCTTCACCTGTCCAATACAGTCCCAACAGTGCAGCATGGTGGTGGCAGCATCATGCTATGGGGGTGTTTTTCAGCTGCAGGGGCAGGACGACTGGTTGCAATCGAGGGAAGGGTGAATGCGGCCAAGTACAGGGATATCCTGGACGAAAACCTTCTCCAGAGTGCTCAGGACCTCAGACTGGGCCGAAGGTTCACCTTCCAACAAGACAATGACCCTAAGCACACAGCTAAAATAACGAAGGAGTGGCTTTACAACAACTCTGTGACTGTTCTTGAATGGCCCAGCCAGAGCCCTGACTTAAACCCCATTGAGCATCTCTGGAGAGACCTGAAAATGGCTGTCCACCAACGTTTACCATCCAACCTGACAGAACTGGAGAGGATCTGCAAGGAGGAATGGCAGAGGATCCCCAAATGCAGGTGTGAAAAACTTGTTGCATCATTCCCAAAAAGACTCATGGCTGTATTAGCCCAAAAGGGTGCTTCTACTAAATACTGTTTTTTACGGTGTTTTTCTGTCAATATGGGGTGCTGTGTGTACATTAATGAGGAAAAAAAATGAACTTAAATGATTTTAGCATATGGCTACAATATAACAAAGAGTGAAAAATTTAAGGGGGTCTGAATACTTTCCGTACCCACTGTATATATATAT